TGTAACATTTCTTGATGCATTTCCCACATTTCTGGTGACTAGCTAATCTAAGTATAGCAAACCATTGTCAACACAAAACTGATTCAAAATAGGCAAGGAAGATGCGATACAAATGTTCGAATCCAAAGGATAAGCTTCTCCTGGATGTTATTCTGCCACTGAGCAAAATGTTTAAGTGCGTAGATTTCACAACTTGTAGCAAACCTCCTTCACTCCACATGAGCACGGTATCACTTAACATCAGTTAAACTCAAGCATACCCCAAGACCTGTTAAACATTCACTGGCCGGGACCTGAAAGAAAAATTTCCTCTCTCACCCCGGGGTCCAGACATATGAAAGCATATCATACTCCTGTCATGCGGGGACCCACTGGTTCTGCAACACATTAGGGGTTGTAACCTAACTTTTTAGAGTCCACGATCGAGATCAAAGCTGTGACCAGAACTCTTTAAAGCAGCAACGGGTGAACACATCAGAAACACTAGAAGCTAGGAACAAGATAGGGTCAAGAGAGAAAAAGAGAGAGGGAGGAAGGGGGAAATCAGTCTATGAGAGTCAGGGTCTTTCTTGGGATCCCCTACATGGCTAACAAACAAGTAGAGAGCCGAATCCAGAGACACACAGGAAAACAACTGGACAATGGGGTGGATTGTGCAGCAGTTGTAAAGTGGTCTGGGAAACCCTCAGGCATGGTTGGGAGGTCTTCTCAAGAGAGTCAGAGGACGAGAGAGACAGAAAGAGAAGTGAGAGACATTCCCATTTCATTTTCCTCCTCAGCAGAGTGAAAAAATATTCAACAATGTCCTTTTCACCCCAGGTTCAGAGAGAATGAGAAAGAGGCGGGGCTGAAAGAGAGAAAGATGGCAGAAAGTGGAGGGAAATAAATTAAGAAATGGAACTAAAAGAGACATACAGAGACAGTGTGCAAGACATAGAATACAACATCTGCTTTCTAATTACTAATCATCCAATTATCATTACAATGAGGAAGTGACATCCTTGCCAGAAACCTGGACAGCAATTCTGATTGGCTCTTTTAATCTAATAAGAGTAATAACAAGGACAAATGGGAAAGGGTGTTTGGCTAATTCAATTGGGTCAAGGCTTTCGAACAACTGATCGGTGTTATCATAAATCCTCTGGGAACAAAATTAATGTTTTTTTTGATCAAAGTTGACTTTGTCCAGTCCTATGTGCTCACATGCACAGGACAGGAAAAAAAGGAGTGCCACCAAAAATCATGGAAAATAGGCAGGAGGGAGTTTATGAGTTTATGGATGTGAGTGGATCAAAACACCCCCATATAATCTAACTGTCATTATTTGTCATCATGATGGTAATTGTCCTCCCATAGGCTCCCAAAAGTTCTTCTTTCTTTCTTTCTTTCTTTGGTTCTTTTAATATAAAGAAAAGTATAGGCGAAAACAAGCATGGCTACCAGTGTCTGTCTGTGCGAACGTATGGGACGAAAAGAATATGAGCGTATGTAAATGGGGCATTAATGGTACACACATGGAAGGGGGACAACCTGCTAATGTCGACCATGCACACACTCTGATTACTACCTACTGACCTCAGAATGACCGAAACTCACAAACACAAGTGCATACAATCCCATACACAAAAGTTGTTTCAAACTGATTCATGCATTCATTTGTGCTCAAACATTAATACAAAATTGGTAAGTGGTCTAAGATAAAAACCTTTTAACAACTTTCCTTGCTGAATGTCACACACACACACACACACACACACACAGACACAACCTTCTCTCTTTGTTTCAGTCAGTCTCTTGACACTCAAAATGAAAATAAGCAGCTTTGTTACATAGCTGCTCTTGAAGCACACAAATCTAAATTCTAAATTTAGTCCTCAACAAATGTCCTCCAATGTTCAATTTTCAAACTGGTTCTCACATGAGCAGAGGTATAGGGACACACACTATGAACAGGGCTCTTTTGTTTCAGTATAATAACACCACTGAAAGAAAGTGAGATGGAAGGGGAGAGGTATAGGATAATGGTGAAATACATAGAGACAGTGAGATGTGGATGACGGGGGGTGAAGAGGATGGAGCGGCAATTTCAAGAAAATGGCAGTGAGTGGAGACCTTGGGGGATTTGAAGTGAAAGGACATGCGCTGTTATGTCCTTCCTGCTTTCATTTTCTATGTTGTCAATGTTCCCTTTCCATCTTTCAGCTCTAAAGAAAATACTTTAAGTAGGAGTAAGAGATTTAAGAATGTTATTTTCTGAATTCTAAAATACGCATTAATGACTTAAATGCCCGTGTATCTTTTTGTTTTTATTTCTAAATAATTGCCTAAACACTGAAGAGTTTTTTGGAGCAACAAGGCAAGGAAACATCATCTACTGCTGGGTCATGTTTTAATTTTAGAGCCATCAAAATCTTCTCTCTCTGTCTCTCTCTC